CCACTCTTTGTTTTACCTATAAATACACAAGGTCTAGTGCAGTACATTCGTAGTGGGAGAGAACCTTGTTAACTCTCAAGTTGTTTCTTGTTGAGTGACATTGATCCTACTAGTTACGATAATGCACTAGAAGATGTTGTTGATCAAGTGTTGCTCAGGCTATGAACAATGAGATGAAATACTTGTATTTCAACTCCGTTCGGTCCTAGTAAAGACACCAAGAGGAGTAAAACCCACAAGGTGCGTGTGGACATAAAAGGCACAGAGAGGATGGACAGAAAGGTGAAAACCTTCAAAGCTAGCTTGGAGGCATTTTTTGCCAGACGCCATGCTTGAGTTTATCCAGATTCTCTTAGTTGCTATAAGTCTCAATTATGAGATTTCATTTTGGGAGTTGGATGTCAGGATATCTACATACAACAACCAAAATGGTTTATAGCAAATGAGTAGGAACACACGGTATGCAAGTTGTGAAAGTCTATTTCATAGACTTAAGCAAGCGTCCAGGTCTTGAAACATCAGTTTTGATCAGGTTATCAAAATTTTGATTTTAAGAGAACCTTGATGAATGATGTGTATTTGTATGTAAAAGATACAACGGAAGACATTAGCTTTTCTGGTACTTTATGTAGATGATATGCTCCTTATTAGAAACAATGTGGAGGTAATATCAAGCATAAAGAGTTGGCTAAGTTAGTGTTTTGGTATGGAAGTACTGGGGAAGCCAATTATATTCTTGGTATAAAACTCTTATGAGTCCGGAAGAATAAGTTGTTGGCATCACCTCAGGCTACTTACATTGACAAAACCCAAAATTCAACATGAGAATTCTAAGAGAAGAATTATAATTCTCAGATGTGGAATTCATCTTCCTAAGGAGTGACCAAAGACTTCTAAGAAGGAAGAATGCATGAGCAAGATATCTTATGCTTTGGCAAAGGTAGACTCATGCATATCATGTTGGGCGTTAAACCAGACATCTGTCACGCAGTGGGAGTAGCGAGATAGTACCATTTTGAACCTAGAGGAATACTAGATTATTGTTAAGCATGTACTCAAGTATCTTTGGAGAACGAGAGATTATATGCTGGTATATTCTAGTGGGAGTCTTGAAAAGCTGAGTTTTCAAAAATTCAGTTATTTCAAGTGGATATTGACTCAAGAAAATCAACCTCGAGCTATGAGTTTTTACTAAACTCAGATAACATTAAAGGTGGATCTTGCAGACCCAGTTACTAAGAGTTTGCCTGAACTTGTGTTCGAGAGGCATGTTACTTCTTTGGGTCTTAGGAGGATCCCAGACTTGCATTAAGCAAGTCAGAGTTATTGTTTTCATTGTGCTCTTGGAGTAAGACGATGAAACAATAAATAATTTTCTGAATTTCATAAATAAGGTTTTATTTATTTATTTTGCGCACTATTTACAAACATAAAGGTCCGGATCAAATTGTGGAGTATATGATCATATGGATACGTTCATGGAGGACATGATCATAGGATCTCACAATTGATGAATGGAGTCACAGCCGTTAAATAAAGTTGGGCACTTTATTCAGGCTGCAATATTTTATGAAATGATTTTGTCCGAATCATTGTAAAATATTGGTGTGAATTAACATTCATATTGAAAGGATCAAGGAGAGATTTGATTAAGGTTGTTTTTCTGTCATAAGGTATCAAATCTCCAGTTAACTATAGTTATGGGATTGCTCTTAATCCTGAGTTTATTATAAATAGGTAATCAAATAGTTTTCATTCTTTGATTTACCAACGGGTGAGGTTCGATCTATTGACGGCCAATAACTCGGTATTTTGGGAGTGAGATTATTTGATTATCGGTATTTATGAGATAAACAACATGGAATTTGTAGGATATGTCCCCTTGATATGTTTCGGTACTTGGATATTAAAGACACTGGCCAGTGCATGTAATCCATTAGAGAAACTATCATAGTCAAGGGAATAAATAATTGATTGAGTTAGAGAAAACTTGTCAATCAATTATAGACATTCTACAAAGGGGCGATGCATATTCATGTTATAAGTGTTGTTAATCTTGGAGTTCAAGTTCGGGCTTTTAGTGGAGTAGCACCGAATTAGATAATCATTCGTTGATTATCAGGAGCCTTGATTAATAACCGATGGTAGATCCCCAAGCTAGCTTGAGACAAGGGATGGGGTATTTTTCGAATAGATGATGACTTATGGGTTACATGATCTTGGGTTTTACGACTCAAGTTTGTATCCAAAAGAGCAAGTGGGAGATTGTTGGGTTTGCTCTTTTACTAAAGCCCAAATGGGTTATTAGTATGAGAAGAGCCCAAGGAACCTAGAGCCCAATGAGTTAGGATTTCTTGGAACCCATATAAATAGTACCTCTTAAGTCATCAGCCAAAAAAAAGGTCTTTTTGTGAGAAAGAGGCAAGCTCTGAATCTAATCAGTGCCCACACACTTCCCCTTCCTCCTCGAGAGATAGTTTGGAAGATCTACCACAGTCCAGCTTCAAGGAGGTTGTTCGTGCTGCGGCGCTGAGATGAGCTGTTCGTGAAGAGGAATCCTACAAGGGAAGATTCTACACGAGACCTGCGCACCGAGAGGTAATTGTGAAACAAGGATGATTCGGTAAGCATACCAATGTACTAGGTCCTAAACCGCTTCCGCATAAATCTAAGATTTCCTACAGGAACACGTTTTGATATTAAATAAATTTTTTGATATATATAATATAATTTATATTTAATACATATAAGAGTCCATAATAAGTTATATAATCAATCAAATATTTAAATTTCATAACATAAATATAAATAAAATAATTTTTCGTACTTTGTTAAATTTTCTTTTCAAATTTCATAACAGAAAAAAAATTAATTTATAAATTATTTTTTTATATTTAGTTAAAAAAATAAAATTAAGCTTACCAAAAAAATAAAAAAAAATTAAGATTTAAAAATAATAAAAAAAAACGTGTCCGAGCGTTGACCGCGTGTCCGAAAAAGTTAACTGCGTGTCGGAAAAACGTGTCCGAACGTGTCAGAGAGTTGACCGCGTGTCCCCAAATATTGACCGCGTGTCGGACGGGTGTCCGAGCGTGTCCGTGTCGGACACGTGTTCGACACGTAAATTTTGAGAAAAAGCACGAGTCCGTGCTATATAGGTTACAATTATTGAATAAGAAATTAATAATTGAGATTAAGATAATATATAAATATATATATATAAAAGAATAAATTATTCTACCTAACTTTTTTTCTTACCTTACCTATTCATCTTTAATAATATTAGATTCAGAATCTTAATAGGAAAGAGATTGAGATTATGATCTAATGATATTAAAAATGAATAGGTAAGATAAAAAGATAAGTAAAATATCTTATTCCATATATATATATATATATATATATATATATATATATATATATGAAATTGTAAAATTATAATTCCTTCATTTAATTAACTATTATAATATTGTACTTTACATTTTAAAATCTATCATCTCACTTCAGAGGAATTAATAAAAAAAAGTTTGATATATAAATTCATTTAAAATATATCATTTTCCTTTATTGAATAAGGTGAGTTTTAATATTGTAGAGATGATATATATATATGAAAAAATATTTGTCCTTTTAAAGGATATAGAGTTGTGTCATTTTAAGTGAGAGAAAGACACAAATTATTTTTTATTTAAAATTTAAATTAAAAAAATATATCCACTTTCCCCTACATGATTTTCATTTCTTGTGTTTTTCTCTTACTTAAAATGACACAACTCTATGTCTTTTAAAAGGACATATATATATATATTTCCTTTATTTTGTATTTAACAATTATAATATTGTACTTTACATTTTAAAATCTATCATCTCACTTTAGAGGAATTAATAAAAAAAAGTTTGATATATAAATTCATTTAAAATATATCATTTTCATTATATTATAAGAAACTTAAATAGAAAATATCTCATGCATTGTTAAGGTAATTTTAAATACAAGTGAATATTACAAATATAAATAAAAAATTAAGAGAACATTTGTTTAATTGTTAAAAGATTATTTTACTGATGATAAAAAATCAATTTAAAATATAAAAAAATACAGGTCTTTGAAAATTTCAATTTTGGAAAATAGTAAAGATTGTTGTAATTAATAAAATATTATTTTAGTGGTGATTTGCAAATATCCAATTATATCTAGAGGCATGATATACTTACAATCAAAAAAGTTTACCATCTATTCAACCAACCTAATTACCGTTGATTTCCGTCAATCTAACGGTTATCATTTATTGAAAATTATTGGATCGCACTTATTAATTAATTATTAATTTTCAATAAATGATAATCGTTAGATTGATAAAAATTAATGATGATTAGGTTGATCGTAAAAGTGATAAACTTTTTTGATTGTAAGTATAATGTTAATTGAAGAAATTTGAGTATTTATTAAAGACTACACACATTCAGCATATATCATATTGGGCTCGTCTATATAAGCCCGTTAAACTAAGTAATCATCAAATTGTCTGGGCCTGCTCTTGTTTTTCATGGCTGAGAGAGAAAGAGATGGTTTGAAGTTTGAAGGACAAGCCTCTTGCGATAATGCTGCTTTCAAAAGCCAACATAGGTTACTGTATGTTGTAATTGGAAATGGAGCACTTTTTTAGTGCTATAAGAGTACCTATTCTTTTATTAAAAAGTAAAAAAAAAATTTGAGAGAAAATAATTATAAAGTGCAGAGATAATGTAATTATATTACTTTTTTTATTCATACTTAGTAAATGATGTACTGATCAGTGTTTGATATTCCCGCAACACTGATCAGTTGTACTATCTAAAAATAAAAATAAAAATATTTTCAGTATTCTCATTGTACTGAATACTCAATATATCATTTATTAAATATGGTAAAAACGCATAACATGCAACTTTTAATGTCCACACATAGATATAAAAAAAATTGGTAAAAATATATATTGTTCTAAGTAACAAATTGTGGATACGCATCAAAACATAGATGGATTCAAGGCTTGTGTTACATTGCAAGGGATAATTGGTACAAATTATAACGCAGGCATCCATGATACAATTGGATTGCTATATAGTTTCAGTTCAACCTTGAAGCAAAAAAGTTAGAATTATCCCTATTTTCTCGATCATTTTGTTTCTTATGTTTTTAAAAGGGATCTCTCAGAGTCCAACAAACTCCAATATTGCGTAATAGGCAATTAAGACCGGAAGCGAAACAATCATACCGAAGATCACCCTGATAACCAGAAAGTCCAAAATGTTAGCATACACTTCATAAAAATTGCTGCAGGAACAATATTATTAAGTTCTAAGTATAATTAGAGGTGTAATTGTGTAAATTTGTGTACATATTATATAATAATGACAATAACTATGATTAAAAAAAAGCATATATATATGGTTATTCATATTTGTAGATTCTCATGCAATTGGTAATATTGTTATTACTTTTGAATGGTTAATATGAAACTTACGCAGTGCTAAGAACCTCCGGATGCACTCCATATTCTTTAGCGTAAATGAAGGATGTGATAGATTGTGGTACTGCTGCCTACACAGATAGAGTGAAAATTTTAATAGAATAATAGAATATCCTTTTTTTTTTATCCTAAATGAATTTTAAACCTTTTTTCTTTGTGCCAAAATTTTCTTTTTTTATTCTAAAATGCTTATGCCAAATGCAAGAAAACTTTACCAACTGGTTTATTTATTCTAGTTATTTTGTGTCTTTAAGCATCACACATTACCCGCAATGCTTTACAAAAACAAAAGGATAATAATAAAAATGACATGCCCTTTTTTTTTTTTTTTTTGATAACATGACATGCCCTTTTTAGTATATAGTATGTGCTACATTTATACCATATTCCTCGCCGTCTTCGTCCACACCACCTGTTTCTTTTTTCTTTTGTTTGAACTAATTTATCATATAAGAATATTAATCAGTGACACTGATACTTCAAAGTGTTTTGGTATGTAGTCAGTGGTCACTGTCACATACCAATATAACATCACTGAAGTAATTAATTTAATTACTCAAAAAGTTATTGTGCTTGTTGAACAATATTCCTAGAACTCCCAATCAACGTAACTCCAATTACAAATTTAGTATGCTACTATAAATTCCAAAAACGTAATATGTCAACTGAAAATTACTTGCAATATATAAGCAAGTAGATTATAAAATGACTCAGACGAATTCATTATTTGTTAGTTAGATATTGAAAATACAATAAAATGAATTATGTAAAATATAAATAAATGAAGGAAATTGATGCTTACACATTTTCTATGATCGGTCAACGACATTTAAATTTTTTATTAGCATGTATTATTTGGTTATTAAGTTTATATTGACAAATATAATACCAAGTTCTTAATAAAAAAACAATTTATATATCGTCAACCTATATAAACATAGTGTAAGAATTTGGTGTGCGAGTATCGTGTTTGATCAATGAAATACCTGAATGATGGCGACTCGTAAAACATCACCGCGCAATCCTACAACAATTGCACTAATAGCCATAGCTGCTGGTCCCGCAATGAACTTTAAAACCAAACCAAACACAGTCAGACTTGGTCCACACGAAATCACCTTCTCCTGAAGTGCCATGAAAATACCTGCATGCACACATACTCACGTCACATACTACTCTCAACCTCTTAATTTGAAATTAGCTAAGTACCACAACCAAGTTTAATTAACATAAAGAGTACATAGTGCTAATCAAGAAGTCACTAAATACATGATCAATATATTTATATATATAAGTAACTCACTTACCCATACTAAACATGGCAGTGCCCGTCCCTGCCTTTGACATGATCAATACAGACCCCTCTATCATGCTTGGCATCTCCAAATTCCACCTACATATACATGCACATTACATTCTCACACATAAATAACGTTTGACAAATAAAAATAAAAAATAATATATATAGGATGTAATTTCTCATGTTATATGAGGCAATTTGTATCATACAATACACAAAAAGTAGATGAGATCTACCAAGAAGAAGAGAGAGAAAGAAAATAAGTGGATCTCGTCTATTTGTTCTTGTGTTGCATGAGACAAATTGTCTCATACAACATGAGAAATTATATATATGTAGAGGAGTGTTATATTGACAAACTTTTTTTCTTACAAATTTACAAACTACACTAAGTCTGACTAGTCTGGACCAAGTCTCTCCTATTACGAAAAAGACTTTATTTTTTCTTCAGAGAAAAACATTGTGGGATCCACCATGTTTAAAAAAAAAATCAAATTTTTTTTGAGTCAACAAGAGAAAAAATAGTTTCTCCAACAAAAAGATAAACTATTCTCCCATATAGAGGTGACAAAGTGGACAGCCCGCCAAAAAGTGGGTCGGCCTGCTTTTGAAAGTGGGTTGGACGGCCCGCCAGGCCAAACTAATTTTACACTTGAAAAAAAAAAAAAAACACAGCGCGACGAGTTGACGGGCTAAAGGCGGGGTGGGTTGAACAACTTGGCCTGCCCCGCCGAGTCCGTTTTGTCACCTCTACTTCCATATATATATATATATATAATTTCTATGTGTCCCATGAACAAATAAACAAACATATAGTCAACATTAATGATATAGGTATACAAAAACACATGGCCGTGAAATTAAGAAAAATAGTACCTGCTGTTAGAAATGAAAGCCCAGGAAACGCCAATGACACAACCATAGGTGTTTGGGTTCATTATAAGTTTGATCCACACAAGCTTCATCAACTTGAAGAAAGGAGGCTTACTACTAACAGTAGTATCTTCTAATACCAATTCCTCATTCACATCCAAAGCTACAGTAGTAGTAGTTGCCTCTACATCTTTCCCTTCTCCACCTAATTCACCCGTCATGTTTGTTGTTTTTGCTTTGGATTTCAAGGTAGTGGTACCCTCGATTCCCGCTCTTCGAAACTCCAAGACAAAGAGAAGCAAAGTGAGCCATATGATAGCCTGCACAACCGAGGCTTGAACAACTAGGTCAACCCCTAAGGGTCCATACATAGCCTTAACCATTGGCACACCCACAACAAGAGCGTTTGTAAGAGTGCACAAAGAGAAGCTTGTTATAAACCAACAAGAGCTCGCTTTGCTACTACACTTGGCCCAAAGGGCAAGCACCGCCACTATGACGAACTTGGATATTGTGTCTGCAACGATAAACATGAAGTTCATCTTGAAAGGATCGATGTGTGCGGTGAACTGGAAGGTGAAGAATGGCAAGGTGAAGTAACACACAAGCTTATTTATTGCATCACACTGTTCCCTTGTGAAGATGTTCCACCACCTTACTGAACCATACCCTAACACCAGAGCAAAGTAGAGTGGCACCACCGCTACCACTACCTTATACACATCTTCCAACCCTATCATCTGCAAGAAAATTATGAATATTGGACAAAACTTACTTCAATATATTGATTATTTTTCTTTCTAAGGTTTTCAGTGTAGCTAGCTAACTATAGCAGTAAGAAAAAATGCATGTTCAATCAAGTAGTAATGGAGTGTTTATATATACACATACACTTGCAAGAAAGGACAAAAAAAATAAATGAACAAATCAATAATTTAATTTAGTAAGACTATTTCAATATATTTCAGGGCGAACCCTGAAACAGCAGTAATATTGTTCCTTATAATCGCAAGATTATAAGTTTCGATCACAAGTTTAAATTTGGAAAACAACCTCTTTGAAAACTACGTACAATCAATTCTCATAAATATGCAGCCATGGATTTGCCATTTTATTTCAATATATTCCATAATAAATGTGTGTGTGGTGTTTTAAAGGCATCAAGGGTTATATGCATACACTTGTGGGAGGACAAAGAGTAAATAAATAAATCAGTAACTTTTCTAGTGACATCATTTCATTATATTCTATAATCTATGTGTGTGTGAGTGAAATTAAGTGGGGTGATCAAATGACGTTACTTTTCGTGCATGTTTTAGAATTGTCAATTGATAATAATTTTAGATAGAGACATGGGTTGGTGGACGTTCAGAATTGGATTCCATGCATATAGATTCTTGAGGAGTGACATGAGTGTATCATAGTGCATGCAAAATTTTTGTGGTTGCTTTCGCCACTGTGTTTTGTTAATTTGCGGTCACCAATTTTCGATCTATATACGGAATAAAGAATGAGGTGCAGCTAGCAATTATTCCACCATCCTTTGCAATTAGTTTTTAGAATTTCATTAATTATTGGCTCATTGGTTATTATTCTTAGCATAACACGAAGTGGGTATTTAATTGAAACATGCTGCTCCAATAATGCAAGCATCCTAAATTCCAGCTTGTGAATTATACTGCCACTATTATTATTTTTTTTTCAGTTAGAAGGTGACAACACCAACCGATACCAATCTTGAATACAGTCAACGAAGCTTTATAAATAAAAGTTGAACATTGGTTTGTTGTGCTTCAGCATCAATATCTGATTCTCATCTCGATCGATCATATAAACAGTCGAATTTTCACATCTATATATGAGGCAGGTTTCTTTGACATTGGTGTCAAATTTGAAGTTTGACACCTCATCTGAGAGCCGTTAGATCCAAAAAGGTTCCTTACCATTGATCTTTTAGGATGTAACGGCTCTCAGATGAGGTCTCAAACTTCAAAATTGACACCAGTGTCAAAGGATCCTGCCTCTATATATATATATATATCGAAATATAATTTTTCATGTTGCATGATAATCTTTGTCTTATGCAATATATGAAAAAGTGAACGAGACCCATTTGTTTTCTTTTTCTCTCTTTTCATTGGTGGGTCTCACTTTTTACACTTTTTTTCTTGTGTTGCATGAGACAAGTTGTCTCATGCAACGTGAGAAACTATATCCCATATATATATATATAGTGGCGGACTCAGAAAATTTTATTTATTTTTGTATATTTAGTGGTGGAGTTGCCCCTGAATTTTTTTTAAAATAAAATTTTAAATGCATTAAAAATATAAATATAAACAAGAAAAGAAAAGAAAACTTCATAACATAAGAAAAAAAAAAATCAAGAGTCAACCAAGCTATTACAATTGAATGATTATAAAAACATTTCTCGATTACAATAGAATACAAAAGCATTCATTTACCGGCAAAAAACAAAGAATACAAAAGCATTATGCATGGTAAAGACTAACCAAACCGAAGGCACAGTCATAGATGCTTTCTGAGATAGAGAGAGACAAGAGAAGTTTTCATACCTTGATACCAGCCTACCAGCGTCCGCCACTTCAGTCTACCACCAATCGTCCAATCCTTTGAGTTCTGAGAAGAGGAAGCGGAGGTTCGAAAGTCCTAATTTTACAAATTAAAACTAAATAAAGAGAATGAGGGGAGAGTCGGTGAGGGAGGGAGGGGGAGAGTCCGAGAGGAAGAAATCTTACTTTCGAACAAAATTGTCTTCCATGAAAGATACATGTGGTTTATCAAAAAAAATATTAAAAACAAAATGGAGTAGGATATTGTAATAACCAATTATGATTACTACCAATCAATTTCACCATTATATTTATTTTCATCTTTGTATGGTTATGATTCTTCATATTTAATACTTTATATTTATTTTCACCCTTGTATGATTATGATTTTTCATATTTAATGCTTTCACATTAAATATGGAAAATTATAACCATACAAATATGAAAATAAATATAACTATTGGATCAAAATAATCGATCTAACAGTAAAATTGATTGATAGTAACCTTAATTGGTTGTTACAATATTCTACTCCAATTAATATTTTTTTAAAAGCATGTTGGCAATAAATAAATAAATAAATATATTAGTTATATTTTAAAAAAGGTAAAATAAAATAAAAATCAGAGTAAAGTCAGACATCTGTTTTCATTCTTTTATTAGAGTTATATTAGGCCATAAACTCTAATATAATTGTAAAACTCTAATATTTTTTACGTTTATATAACTAATAACTAATGTAAACGTTAAAATCATGATACTATTTCCCGCTGTAACCCATGACGACGATGTTAGCATATCTGTGAAATTTTTATTTTTTTTAAAAAAATTTCTGTCTGCACTTGCAAACAGTTGCCCAAGTATGGGTTCGCTAGCGTGTATATATGCAAAATAAGGTTGTTGAATTACAATACGTATCGCGTATCATTTAATTGATTTATTGTATCATAAATCGTATCGAATCATAAAATACTAGAATATAATAAAAAATATATAATATAATTAATATCATATAGATCCAAATTTCAAAAAAATCAAATAAGCAAAATACATAAGAAATTAAAGTGCAAATTAGTTATTCTCCTACTCATCAATCATTAAGACTAATATTATCACTATCAGCATCTATCAGTGATATAACTAATTCATCATTCTCTTCCAAAAAGGATCTTTTTGATTTTTTTAATTTAAATAGCAAATCAAATCTTTATTTTTTTATATATATTAAAAATTAAATTTTTTGATTTAATGTTTATATCGTATGATACATGTATTGTATCATAAGATACAGTATCATATCGCTGGGCTTGTGAATCGTATCGCGTATTATAAGGTACTAATAACTATGATGCAAAGGTTTCCGAGATATATATTGGTGTAAATTCAGAAAAAATAAAATTATATATTACATAGCGTTAGTTGTAATGACTTTATGTACCCAAAAAAAGCAATGACTTTTTTCCCGTCTAATTAAATTGAATGATAAGAAACATATTAAATGGCTTAACTGTACCATATCAAGAATAAATTCAATTTCTGTACAGAAAATTATCAATTTGATCTTTGATTATTTTTATTGATATGGAACTACTTAAGAATGTACAATATTCAAATTTCAAGCCCAAATAACTCTTACATAAAAAAGTGCATTAGAAAAATATAATATAAAAGTCATGAAAAAATCATCACTCATCAACTTGAGCTTTTAAATAAAATAGTTGTTTATTAAAAACGTCTCCTTATTTTTTTTTATTTTAAAATGTTTCAAAAATAAAAATAAACTGATGATAATAAAAACAATTCAAACACACCTAAGTGTGTGTGCCAAATATACATGACCACCAATGAATTAGTTGTGTGGAGCTGGAGCTGCATTCGTATATATAATCACAGGGTGTTGAAGTTTAAAAGCTATATCTCTTCTTTCACTACAAAAAACATGTCGTTTAGCCACATTTATAAATGTGGCAAAATGTAACAAAAAACGTGGCTAAAAAAAACTACCACATTTTTGCGAAATGTGGCTAATCCTGGCGTGGCATTTATTTAGCCACATTTTTCTTTTCACTTTGCTACTGCTGTCATGAGTGTGGTAGCATTATTTTGGCCACGATTTTTGTGACATTAGCCACGTTAATAATGTGGCTAATTTGTAGGGAGAGAACAAAAAAAAATAATACATTTTTATTTTTTTATAATATTTCACTACCCAAATTATAATTTTTTTTTTGATACATAAATGATCCACAATAGCAATCTATTAATAAAACAAAAACAAGAAGAAAAATACAAATTGCAGGCATCCAAACTAATATAGAAAATATTTTAGCAATAAGAGATATTTCATATGCTCAATCAGTATTACTCATTCAAACTAACAGTTGAAACATTCCAAATTAGGTTATCAACAAGGGCTAAAGACAAATATATGAACATTAATCTTGGGGGCAAAATCACAGTATTACAACATAATGTTCAATACCATAAATGACAGTGTTTGTTGAGGGCCAATTCTTTTACAGATTTCTCAAAGATTTTCACAGGATTGAGAAAATTCAATTCACCAGTGAAAAAGGAAGACCTACGCAGACACCATGGTTAAGGAAGCAAATACCATATAAAGGATGGTCTCATAATCATGATGATCGCCATATAAAAATTGAGGTATACTAAAAAGTACAAACAAATATAATAGACCCGTTAAAAAATACAAACAAATATAATAGACCCGTACCGAAAGGGTATGTACAATGTAAGCTTATTCATATCAACCTAAGACACCCTAAGCCTCCCCCTTGTGAGCCTGCAATCTTTGCATTAGAGAATACGAAGCAGCACAGAGATCCGAGAAAACAAATTGCAGGCTCTGGACCCTTTGAAGATCAAACAGATACTTTTCCTCATGAGTTTTGTAAAGCTGTCAAAGATATTAACAGAGTTTGAGAATATTATGGTAAACAATTAGAATTATCCAACTAAGTCACAAATATAGGCATTCCTCCAAGCATAGAAGCATAATAATGGCATATATTCATTTATAACAGAGAAAAATATAATTAACAAATTTCAACATTACATCCGTGACCATTTGATCCAAGATTGTCTAAGACAATGTGTGATCATTTCTGAGACCAATGAATTTTAATTGATAAATTGGAACCACCATCAATCCGTTAAAAAAAGATGAACAACATCACAATAAGATGAATGAACGTTATAGATGTAAAAATCAATTTAGACACAAACTACGTATATACCTGTGGTATAGTTAAAGTAAATATATTGGGCAAGAGAAAACCTCCATTTTGAGCTGAAATCTTTACCAAATGACCTGAAATTTTTATGGAGTAAAGTAGACCTCTGGGACTTCAAAATGATATAAGATTTGCCTCCTTTGGAGGTTTGTAGATCCAGAAATAGATTTTTTGAAAACAGTGGACATAGATGACACATGACAACATTTTCTTGATT